TATGTAACACATCAGACCCATCAACACGACTAGATGTAAGATGAGATCACGGGCCTTGTTATATGACATATGTAACACATCAGACCCATAAATACGACTAGATGAAAGACGAGATGACTGGCCTTGCTATTTGAGATATGTAACACATCAGACCCATCAACACGACCAGATGAAATACGAGATCACGGGCCTTGTTATAGGAGATATGTAACACATCAGACCCATCAATACGACTAGATGAAAGACGAGATCACGGGCCTTCTTATATGACATATGTAACACATCAGGTCCATCAATACGACTGGATGAAAGACGAGATCACGGGCCTTATTATATGACATATGTAACACATCAAACCCATAAATACGACTGGATGAAAGACGAGATCACGGGCCTTGTTATAGGAGATATGTAACACATCAGACCCATAAATACGACTGAATGAAATACGAGATCACGGGCCTTGTTATAGGAGATATGTAACACATCAGACCCATAAATACGACTAGATGAAAGACGAGATCACGGGCCTTGTTATAGGAGATATGTAAAACATCAGACCCATAAATACGACTGAATGAAATACGAGATCACGGGCCTTGTTATAGGAGATATGTAACACATCAGACCCATAAATACGACTGGATGAAATACGAGATCACGGGCCTTGTTATAACCAGATTTTCGCTGATCAGGTCGATGTAAAAGCGATTGTGGAACAAGAACATAGACCTCGATACAACCAGACGTTCGTCTCATCAAGAGATAGATGAGGATGAATCAACTCGGCTCTGCAACAATATGAGTGAATATGATTTTACGCCGATTTTAACGATATTCAACACAAATTCCACATTATACCAGTTTGGGTAATTCAGCTCGTCAATTCGGAGCATCAGACTACTTTACTGCCCATGTTACCACTAAGTGAACCAAGGACGAGAGCATACTTCAGGTCTTTATTGGCAGATATAGAACAAGAACAAACACTTCTTGTATATGTATGTATATGTATATATTTCCCACATCTGCGACTAGGTTGATTATGCAGCGGAGGTAGGACAGCTCCGTCAAGGATAAGAGCTTCGATCAAATCGGAAACTACATTCTACAACTCATCCTGTTTCAGGCAATGCCAGATGTACTAGTCCCAAGACAACTACCATGTTGTTCACCAACATATGTGTCTCTTTCCCTTTCTGACCGTACATACATGTGTACATTTCTATCGCTACCCTGATGCAAATACATGAATACGCGTGTGTCCAAATGTAATACGTTTTATTATAGTATTACAGTTATCTGCATTTGTGTGTGTGTGTGTGTGTGTGTGTGTGTGTGTGTGTGTGTGCGCGCATGCGTGTGCATCCGTCCACATGAATCACTGCCGGACTCTTTATATGTTTCTGATCAACTCAATGTCAATATGACTCTATTAGCGTTAGTCGGTACCAAATACGACCTTTGTCTAAACTGACGATGACAGGCTACCTGTACCTCGCACCAGTTCAGAAAGTGTAACAGTACCAAACAAGTACACGTTCTGCTTATAGTGACTTGTAACAGGCCAATAACGACAAACAGAGGAAAAACTGCATAGTGGCCTGTAACAGACCAATAACGACAAACAGAGGAATAACTGCATAGTGGCCTGTAACAGACCAATAACGACAAACAGAGGAATAACTGCATAGTGGCCTGTAACAGACCAATAACGACAAACAGAGGAAAAACTGCATAGTGGCCTGTAACAGACCAATAACGACAAACAGAGGAATAACTGCAATAATGACTTGTAACAGACGAATAACGACAAACAGAGGAAAAACTGCATAGTGGCCTGTAACAGACCAATAACGACAAACAGAGGAATAACTGCATAGTGGCCTGTAACAGACCAATAACGACAAACAGAGGAATAACTGCAATAATGACTTGTAACAGACCAATAACGACAGAAGAATAACTGCAATAGTAACCTGTAACAGACCAATAACGACAAACAGAGGAAAAACTGCATAGTGGCCTGTAACAGACCAATAACGACAAACAGAGGAATAACTGCAATAATGACTTGTAACAGACCAATAACGACAGAAGAATAACTGCAATAGTAACCTGTAACAGACCAATAACGACAAACAGAGGAAAAACTGCATAGTGGCCTGTAACAGACCAATAACGACAAACAGAGGAATAACTGCAATAATGACTTGTAACAGACCAATAACGACAGAAGAATAACTGCAATAGTAACCTGTAACAGACCAATAACGACAAACAGAGGAAAAACTGCATAGTGGCCTGTAACAGACCAATAACGACAAACAGAGGAATAACTGCAATAATGACTTGTAACAGACCAATAACGACAGAAGAATAACTGCAATAGTAACCTGTAACAGACCAATAACGACAAACAGAGGAAAAACTGCATAGTGGCCTGTAACAGACCAATAACGACAAACAGAGGAATAACTGCAATAATGACTTGTAACAGACCAATAACGACAGAAGAATAACTGCAATAGTAACCTGTAACAGACCAATAACGACAAACAGAGGAAAAACTGCATAGTGGCCTGTAACAGACCAATAACGACAAACAGAGGAATAACTGCAATAATGACTTGTAACAGACCAATAACGACAGAAGAATAACTGCAATAGTAACCTGTAACAGACCAATAACGACAAACAGAGGAAAAACTGCATAGTGGCCTGTAACAGACCAATAACGACAAACAGAGGAATAACTGCAATAATGACTTGTAACAGACCAATAACGACAGAAGAATAACTGCAATAGTAACCTGTAACAGACCAATAACGACAAACAGAGGAAAAACTGCATAGTGGCCTGTAACAGACCAATAACGACAAACAGAGGAATAACTGCAATAATGACTTGTAACAGACCAATAACGACAGAAGAATAATTGCAATAGTAACCTGTAACAAACCAATAACGACAAACAGAGGAATATCTGCAATAATGACATGTAACAGACAAATAACGACAAACAGAGGAATAACTGCAATAGTAACCTGTAACTGACCAATAACGACAAACAGAGGAATAACTGCAATAATGACCTGTAACAGACCAATAACGACAAACAGAGGAATAACTGCAATAATGACATGTAACAGACCAATAATGACAGAAGAATAACTGCAATAGTAACCTGTAACAGACAAATAACGGCAAACAGAGGAATCACTGCAATAGTAACCTGTAAGAGACCAATAACGACAAACAGAGGAATAACTGCAATAATGACCTGTAACAGACCAATAACGACAAACAGAGGAATAACTGCAATAGTGGCCTGTAACAGACCAATAACGACAAACAGAGGAATAACTGCAATAATGACTTGTAACAGACCAATAACGACAGAAGAATAATTGCAATAGTAACCTGTAAGAGACCAATAACGACAAACAGAGGAATATCTCCAATAATGACATGTAACAGACAAATAACGACAAACAGACGAATAACTGCAATAGTAACCTGTAAGATACCAATAACGACAAACAGAGGAATAACTGCAATAGTAACCTGTAACTGACCAATAACGACAAACAGAGGAATAACTGCAATAGTAACCTGTAACTGACCAATAACGACAAACAGAGGAATAACTGCAATAATGACATGTAACAGACCAATAACGACAAACAGAGGAATAACTGCAATAATGACATGTAACAGACCAATAATGACAGAAGAATAACTGCAATAGTAACCTGTAACAGAGAAATAACGACAAACAGAGGAATCACTGCAATAGTAACCTGTAAGAGACCAATAACGACAAACAGAGGAATAACTGCAATAATGACCTGTAACAGACCAATAACGACAAACAGAGGAATAACTGCAATAGTGGCCTGTAACAGACCAATAACGACAAACAGAGGAATAACTGCAATAATGACATGTAACAGACCAATAACGACAGAAGAATAACTGCAATAGTAACCTGTAACAGGCCAATAACGACAAACAGAGGAATAACTGCAATAGTGGCCTGTAACAGACCAATAACGACAAACAGAGGAATAACTGCAATAGTAACTTTCGACTGTCAATAAGTGTCCAACACGCCAGCACTGTGCATAGTGACCAGTGACAAGTTTGAAACAAAGCGGACCAATCGTATCTTTATAGAGCAGTAATCGCCGAATGGTGTAATTTCGGTAGTTCCTACCCCGTTTATCCAGACATCCGTTTAACCGAACATCCATGTTTCGGATGATCTTCAAAAGACTGACTACATTTAACCAGATGCATGCAACTGTGAATTACCTTGACTACAGTTGTCCTGGAAGTGTGTTCAATCGGACTACTTCAGTAGGAACGACAATATTCGCTTAACGTGGTGTCGCTGTATGTCGCTGTGGCTGAATACAACGATCAGTCCTGTCAGTGCGAGAGTTTAGGAGTACCAAGCTTACACCACCTGCATCTATTCTGATTGGGAGCCTGCATCTACCTATCGTATACAGGTACTTTAAATATACAGTCTGAAACCGGAGACAAAGGGTTACATTGCCAGTCAACCATCATCAACAGCTGTCGACATCACTTGTGACAGTATATATTATGGCAATAAATTTCATTAACCAGTCATGTGAAAGTAATAACTGCGTGTGTTTTTTATACTACCATGTTCAAACCCGGAGAACATAAAGCACATCTAATGATAGATATTTTAAAGGATAACTGGCTCCCAGATTATTGATAATCCAGATTATCTATGTACGTTGTGTTGATTTATAAAGCGTTCCTGTAGGATAAAAGTGCACCATGGTAAGTAATCATTGTAAAATCCCAAAGTCTAAGGTAGATAGTCGACTATGATACTTTTAGAGCTAAACCATTGAAGTAATAATATAACACTTCTTGATCGGTTCCTACCTTGAGGACAATGTGTCAGAGGGTTACAGGTAAATGTTTTTGAACATGCAGGTGAAACAAAACTACTTACGGGTTGACAGTTGTGTGACGGGCGCCCCCTGCAGAGCTGCTCTGTGGGTAATACGCGTTGCACACATCTGTTGCAGATAGGCCATCCACACACTGGGACACATAGTGACAGAGCTTCACACTAGTCTCGGGCTTCGGATGACGCGATTATCCCATTTGAAACAGATCCGTGTTGGTATGCCATGTGCTGCTGTCGCTCTAACTCGCCGTCCACGGCTCACACCGGCACTGCTCTACTGCCGAGTAGCTGGAGTAATTGTCGTAATTAAGAGTCACCAGAGTCGTTCCTCACTTCCGGTCATCGCCTGAGCTCTCAGTGTTTGATACATCACGTTCTCTGTGATGCGGGACTTTGATGAGTCTGCAACAGACGCACTGTACTCCCAGTTACTGTCCATAGCACCATGAAGAGAGCAGACAGCACATACGGGGGGTAATACCGGTCCATAACCCCAGTCGCCGCCCTCAGTGAATGAAGGCAGTTTGCGATCAGAGACGGTAGTTGGGGAGATCGATAGACTTACAGTCAGACCTCGCGGAGATCGTGCACGACCGCAGCACATACAGAAGGAATGGAGGAATCAGTTATGGATCAGAGGTATTCTGGAGCGGGACGGAACGTGATGAAGGGAGGTATGACAGACAGCCATGCGGACATATTGATGGAATGACGATATCACGATAAATACACACACGTTTTCAACTGAACAGTGCTGCGGACGGCCTGAAATGGATCGCACGAAGCAGATATAGAACTCTCCATCAAAGGAAACCGATTTCGATTAATAGTTTTCTGGGAGTGGGTACGATGTGTGTTTGGGTGTTGTGTTTGGAAGGGGTCTAAGGTTTTTGCATGTGGGCAGTCGGAATTATTAGCTGTTAGTTTTGAAGTCAGATGTCCGCAAGGAAAAAGAGCTACTGCTTTACAGATGCTCTCGGAATAAGACAGAATGTAGATAGTTGGAGTCAAATTTAAACTATTTTCTGTGTTACAACAGAACTTCAAGTCACTTATCAACAGTCACAGAAAGAGATCTGACAGGTGGGCCTATACCGGAAGAGTTGGGCAGACACATATGCACAATCCTGTAACGATACATTTGGAGATACAACACACATGCACTGACAAAGAGGACAGTCAATGGGGCACATGAATAGTCGGACAGATGCAAAAATACATTAACAGAAACGCGGAGACAGTCACTCAGACTAGAGAAGACGCTCAGAAACTGTTAGAGAGCACAGGGAGCTAAGCACAAACAGGCAGTCGGAAAGACATCAGGATAGAAGCGAAACAGAAAGAGAGAGAGTGAGTTTTACGCCGCCTTTAGCACTATTCCAGCAATATTATGACGGGAACAGGAAGAGAGGAACAGTAAGTCGTACAAAGAGACGTCGTCGAGAGAGATACATTTTAAGAAAGACAGACTGGTAGTGAGACATACACGAACTGACAGTCTGACATACACAGATCGACAGTGAGACAGACACAGACTGACAGTCAGACAGACACAGACTGAAAGTCAGACAGACACAGACTGACAGTCAGACAGACACGGACCGACAGTGAGACATACACAGATTGACAGTCAGACAGACACATACTGACAGTGAGACATACACAGATTGACAGTGAGGCAGACACAGATTGACAGTGAGACAGACACAGACTGAAAGTCAGACAGACATAGACTGACAGTCAGACAGACACATACTGACAGTCAGACAGACACAGACTGACAGTCAGACAAACTCAGATTGACCGTCAGACAGACACAGACTGACAGACATACACAGATTGACAGTCAGTCATATACCACACGCTGAAGGACAGAACGGGAAGGGGAGATAATTCAAAAGAACACGCTAATATACAATCAGATCAACTTGGATGGTATGGTGTTGTATGACGTCAGACCAGAGAAAGGAACGGTAGCTGCCTGTTTTCTTCCAATGGCTGATCTGAAGCCTAGTCGGATTCTACTGTAATGCAATCTCGTGGACCGAGACGATATTGACGTAACATTTCGTGATGAGAAGCACTTCTGGACGAATCAGAAAAAAATGGTTTTAAACATCCCATTTTCCGTCTATTTTAGACGCTGTTCTTTCGTGACTTGGACAATTTGTGTGCTCAGCATGGACATTTAAATGTTCGATAGCGGAATCTGAAGGTAATTACTAAATTGCGTGAGTGTGCCCATCCGGCTGCTGAAACAGGCAGATTGTGTTGAGAACCCGCGGGAGCAGGGGCTGCCCTTGCACGTTGATGCTGGACCGGGGGTATGACCCTTGTATTAATGAGAACAACAGATCGGGGCTTCTTGATAAACTTACATGGAAACCAGCAAGGAACATGTACTCATAAACACAGGCATGCGCATACATGTATTCGCACACACAGACGCATAATGTATATCCATACATTTAAACATGTGTTTGCTTAAATGCATGCTACATGCACGTGCACATGCATAGGCACAAATGCATAGCATATACGCAAACATGCAGAATGAATAGTTCTGAGTGAATACACAGCTATCTTAAATTGCTCGAATGTTCGGGAATGAGAAATCATTCCGATACTTATGCATGTGTTAGAGCGATTCTAAACGTCGACAACCCGTGAAGGTCCAGGTTAGAATGAGCCTTCAGTAACCCAAGCTTGTAAGAGGCGACTAATGGGATCGGGTGGTCAGGCTCGCTGACTTGGTTGACACAGGTCATCGGTTCCCAATTGCGTAGGTCGATGCTCATGCTGTTGATCACTGGATTGTCAGGTCCAGACTCGATTATTTACAGACCGCCGCCATATACCTGGAATATTGCTGAGTGAGGCGTAATTAAAATCACTCACTCACTCTAAACGCCGACTGGTGAATAGGAACATAGCAAGGCTTTACCGCCATCCCTTACTCCAAGCAGATCTAGTATTCTGTTGTAACTATACAGGTGTACCCGCATGTCTATGTCGTAAAACAGAAATTTAAATATTTAACTCAAATGCGATATCTCTCTTCGGGAATATCTAAACACACACCAAGAGTGAACGTGTGAGTGAGTTTATACCACTTTGGGCAATATTCCACCAATATCACGGCGGGGAACACCAAACCCGGATCTTTGGTGTGACGAGCGAATACTTTAACCACTATGCTAGTCACCGTCCTCGCACCAAAAGAGTCCCGTCAGGTATGACCTGAGCGAATACAAATGCAGTATGTTTGCCAACAGTTCTCAAGCCAATCAGCTGTCTACTTTCAGAAACTACCAGACTTGTGACTCTACCGCCTCGATTCGGAAATGTCTATCCTAAGGACGAAAAAAAGAGACACAGAATTAGAAACACGACAGAACGAAAATATACCGAGTGATGGCGCTCAGAAACGACAGGATGAAAATATAAGAGGACGGCATTAATTAGTCACATTTGGAACTCCTCGATTATTGTCGTTTTCGACACAGCTTTATCAGATATGCCTGAAAGAATAGTTTGCTCATCATTACCCAGAATTTTAAAAGCCTCTTCGCGGACAAGCTGATGAGGCCTCCCATTCAGGTGACCTCTGATCTTCGTGCAACCATATTTTCAGAGTACAATGATCTAATCAAGAGTAGATAATAACACAGTCAAATGCATTTGTGCCGAAGCTGAATGAACCTAGGTAAATACTGTGAGATCTCCGAACTTCGACAACCGTATAATGTGGACTAAGGAAGACGCAAGGATCAAGCCTCTATTTCGAGACAACCGTAAAATGTTGACTAAGGAAGATGCAAGGATCAAGCCTCTATTTCGAGACAACCGTAATTTTGGCACATTGAGGTTCGTCACAGCGTTGATTGACTGTATACATGCAATTCCCACACGCGTATGTTCTCCTTAAACAGGCTGAGCAGCCTAGATGTCGACGAAGGGTTCCCAATTCGCGCAGTGGAGCTGTAAAGACAGTGCGGTCTTTAGAGTAGACTAACGCTTAGTCTCTGAATATATATAATTTTGATTGTAACAAACAAACCCATTTTAATTGAAAAGGAGCCCCAGGCCAGGGAGACCAGAGATTCAGAACCTGAAGAAATCTAGGCTTGCTTCATTTAGGGCGCTAGCATTGCAGAAGGGGCTAGGCAGTAGGGAAAATAGTGTGGTTCAGGATCTTTGAGACAGACTATCTTTAGAGTTCCACTACGCGAACATTAGAAACCCTTCGTAGTGGACAAAGCGTTTATCCCAAGGGAGAAGGTCGACGGTTCAGTACCTGGTGACGTCATTGTGACGTGAAATGATGGTACTTGATGATAACCTGCCTGGCACCTGGTTCCAGAGGATTACACAAGAACAGGTAGGCTTCGAATCAGTAAACTGATTAATATTACAACTGTTAGTAGGCCAAGCTGAACATCTGCAATAGTCCGGACTACTAAACGCAGGCAGATAGACAAGATAAATTCTCAGACGCATCGACGCAAACGCTGACACACGTGCGGTGCTGCTGGACGTTATATGTGCGGCATAAAGCAATATTATCTTACCCGGAAATCATCATTTTCTCTCTGTATTGACTTCTCTATGTGTTACAAACATCTCTGTACAAAGACGTATGAATACCTAACAGTGATACGATAAACTTGTTGGAATGTTGTACCTATTATCAGACTGGACATTCCAACAAATACCCCAGGTACACTCTGCCAGAGCCGTAACATTCTTAAGTCGTTTTCTTTACCGTGTGTCTTTTGTAATCACGAAATAAGACCTCCATCTGATTGTACAAAGACATTATGACAGGAAACACGGCATCCTCATCCTACTTTTATTTGTTTATGAGCACAAGAGATGATTATCTATCTCGTGCATGTTTTTTCTTCGCGAACTTCATATGTAACAACTGCTGTTTTCACTGTTGTACCATTTTTCAATAGTTACAAAAATCATGGATTTCGGTTGAGACAAATCTGGTGTATAACAGGTCACAGTCTTATTGCAGAACAACGATTACGACGATGTTGACAAATAAAACAAAACAAAACGACAGTCTGCGAACAATGCGCGAATAACAGCAGCATACCATCAACGCATGAATTAGAAGTAATACGGTTTGAGGTATGTAGAGTGGTGCGACTCCAATAAGCATACCGCATTGTGTGTGATGTAGGTGCTATAAAAACAACAGAAGTGCCATCACCGCTTTTAGATAGACAATGGTTATGCATGCTCTCGCCAAATATGAATTCCATGCATTCTGTATAACGGCAGATTCCTGACAAACAGACCTCGCAAACCCTTCATCAGAGAATTGCTCCTACGTCATTCTAAATATGTCCAGTAGCGTTTCATTAGGTAAGTAGACGGGCCATAACTGAGTGATTAGACAAGACTATATATGGGTCAAGCGACCAATCTTGTGATTACATATGTAAGAAATCACTTGTGCCACGACAAGCGCTGATTCAAGTTCTAGATGCGTTCAGTGATGTTATGTCTTATTTATTTATCACCGAGGAAACATTTTA